CATAATGAATTTATACTCCATCATAGTGCCTAAGTTTTATACTTATATCAGTAGTTTGTCTTCAACTCCAGAAAGCAAAATAGGAGTAGTTTTCAAGAGACAGCATACTTCACCTCATTCTTAAGGCGCTGCGTTCTTACAAGAATTCGTCAATTACATATTGCTCAAGCTACTGGATATCTACATTAAGAAGTCTAATCTATGCATCCAAAGGAAGAAGTCGGTTCAGAAACTGTCCTTACCCCGCTGACCATCAAGGTTTCAATGATCCTTAATTTGTTGTAGAGATTCCCTCAAATTTTACCTGATATTCTATTCACTAATACATTTCTATACTTATTATTGTGACTAGTTTTAGTGATCTTACTTGACAAATCGATATTATTTAAAAAAACATCAATCTGTGTTTTTTCTTTCAATGGACCACAAAGTGTTCTGTAAACTTCCAGACTGAATCAGTAGCATCTTTGGAATTTACTTTATTAGACAGCTATAGAAGGGCCAAGAGAGATAACTACACCTAAGTGAGAGTGTTTACTTTTGTTAAAATGAAACCAGACAAATTGTATTGATTGTTGTTTTTGTTTTTTTGGAAAATAAACAAAAGTTTTAAACTGTATTTAAAGTATGACGATGATGTTTACATATGAACAAGAATTGTTTACGCTTACTAACAAACATACACACTGGCTTACTTTTTTCTTTATGTTTAAAAATCTAACACTACGGACTAATTTGAATGTCGCCGTCTAAATTCATGCGTCTGCTTACAAATTACGTTTCTATGGCAACTTAGTTCATTTGTGCTTATTTGATATGTGCGTCGGTGGCGCAGAGGTAGAATGGTCCGGGATTCAATCTCCGGCCGACGCACTCATTAACCTCACTACACCAGTAATAAGACTGGTAAAGAAGGAAGGTTGGGCATGAGGCCAGCAGCAACCCCATCTCGTCAAAAATAAGCCCTACTGCTACCAAAAACTTCAAGCCTCCAGCTTGAAGCCACCCTATGTTCCAGCACTGGGAACGTAAAGGAATGAAAAAAAAGATTTAAACCTTTGACGAAAATTCTCATAATGCTGCCTCTGATGGCGTCATTAAAGAGGTTTGTTAGGGAATGACTTCCCACACCAAAAAGAATAGAATAAAACAAATAGACTTCTAGTTTGACCAGGAACTGAGACATTAGTTAGAGAATCACTAGAAATCAGTGGGGAGTACCGGACAACTGAATCCTCCTGGTTTGGGACTCTTCAGGCTGTGAAATAAACTGGCTGACCATTCAGCTATTGGGACGAAATTCAATGACCCACCGATTCTAAATTCTGATAGTTCACCACTGGTTCCCGTCCCACTAGCTGATTGGTATACGGTCTTACCATGAACTCTGAACGTCATGGCTTCAATTTCTGCTAATGAAGTCGTGGCTACGTGCTTCTGAAGACTCCTAAACAAGGACGAAACAGATGTTCAGTGGTTCTTCATTACACGAATTCTGTTCGTGATCAGTCTTGAAGCCAATACAATTTCGGTAAACTGAGATTTGAATACAAATAGATTTAATTGTGCAGCTGATTCGTCAAATACTGTTTTATCTTTTTTAAATAATTTTTAAAAAATTCCTTTGCATTCCCAGTGGAACATAGGGTGACTAGAAGCTGAAGAGTTTGAAGTTTCAATAGCAGTGGTATTTATTTTTACGAGATGGGGTTGCTGTTGGTCTCATGCCCAAAATTCCCTCTTTACCAATTTTATTACTAGCTTAGCGAGGTTTGGGAGTGCATTGGCAGGGGATCGAACCCTGGGCCATATGAGGCGTGGTTGACGAGCATTCTACCGCTGTGCCACCGGTGTGTACTACTCTTAAATTAACTTTTAGTCCAGAGACAGTTCACGACATTAGTTTCACTATCGATTTTCGTATTGTTCTCTTGTAATTTCTTTATCAGAAAAAGGTAAGTCTGGACAGAAATCGGCTGCAAATTCTAAACTGTTTCCTTATCTTTCGTGTGGCAGGAAGTCATGCGAGCAGTTATACTTTATTGCTTCTGGCGTATTCGTCTTAAAGACTGTCGTGAGATGAGAAAAAACACAAATGATATATATATATATATAATGGACAAGATTTTTAGCTCAATTGGATGACTTTGATATAGTTGTGTTCTCTGACCTGGATGGTTTATTTGTGAAGCTTTCATTGCCTTACTAGGCAACATCTTCGGGTCATAATTCAATTTGAAGTGAGCTTTTAACTCTTCAAACCATTGGGGGCAAAGTTTAACTATAGGGTCCCAAGGGATGCGAACGCACGAGGGACCTTGAACCGACCAGCCAAAAATATAAGTGATTATTTCACAAAAAATGACGTTTGTTTACAAGAAAATGCATGAAAACACATTAAACAGGTTGTCTTTCTCTGACATGACTTAAAAATACGTCCCAGTAATAATGAGGAGTATCAAATGCTTTGCTGTGATCTGTTTATCGCTATTATCCTGTTTTGCAGTCTTTCCTAAAAGCCCTCGGTTGAATTACTATGGTTTCCAGAGAGACGATCGATGACTACTTACTAGGGAGATATGGATAACAAAACAAATTAAAACAAATAATACCAACTTCAAACTTAACCCCAACCTTAATCCTAACACTAACTATAACCCTTATCCTAACCCATACGAGCTATTAACACATTGACCAAACAGTGCTTAAAAACGTGATCTGGGTGAAATTTGCTCCTTGGTTGATGAATAGAGCTCATACTTGTACTATAATAACGACAGATGTCGTTAGCCAACAACTAGCATGCGTTCAATGTCATTGGAGCATTCGCACCTCTGGGACCCTAGAGTTTAACTTTGCCCCGTTGGGAATTGATGTTGCACACAAGCCAACACTCACTCAGCCAGCCAGGCCTGTGTCAACCAAAAGCAGATAAAACCAACATCATCTACAAAATAAGCTGCAACGACTGCGAAAAACACTACCAATGGTCAGAGTGGACGACCTCCACTTCGTCTTTGTATCCATGAACATAAACTGACTAGCCGTCAAAAGACATGACATCCACTCCCTCATATCACTACATACAGACAACCACGGACATCAGTTCGACTGGGACAACATTCAGATATTAGGCAGTAGAAACAGCAAGAACGCTAGAGAATTTCTGGAATCCTAGTATTCCAGTGAATCAACAATTAACAGGCACATTGAAATAGATAAAATTTACCAATCCATAGGAGGCAAATCTCATGAACAAGAAGTTTAACTTTAGGTCAAGGAAACAATCAATACCAAACATAAGCAGACTAGAGGGTGTGAAAACACACCAAGAGATATGAATAATAAATTTAAAAGCTCACTTCAAATTGAAGTATCAGTTGAAGACGTTGCCTAGTAAGACCATGAAAGCTTCGCAAATAAACCATCTACCTCAGAGAACACAACGTAGTTCAGCGAAGAGTGTGTTTTCGGCAGCGAATTCATTTTCTTAGCTGTACAGTGGCGAATATATATGTGTTATTTTGTATGTATGTGTACATTAAGTTTGTCAAACAAAAATACAATCGGGTACGGTTATTTGAACTTAACAGGTGAAAACTGGTAAGTTTTTGGTGGAGTTACGTATTACAAAAACGGTCAAGAAAATTGGGTGTTAATGAAACTAGTGCAGCTACAAAGGCGACGAGTTGTCACAAACGGTTGTTAAAAAGAAGTTATGTAATAATATGAATAGTTCGATGATTGAGTTTTACTCAGGATATACATAGGAACAAAGTAGAGAACACGAAATTACGCAAGAGTTCTAAATGAATACAATAATTATAAGCAATTAAAGAAACAGGCAGACGAACAAAATTAAGTCATCAAAAATCAACAAAGTTGTTACCATGACAGTAGAAGCGGTTGAGTAATTCTCTTCTGTATGCACAGCTCCTGTTTTTCTATGTGAATGGTGAGAGCTTCAGCGATACAAAGAAGACGAAACCGTATTGCCTTTGGTAGGTTATTCTTGACTCTGCAGATTACTTTGAAGCAGGAGGCGTTTGTTGAGATGGAATGATCAATGTTAACGAGGTGTTCAATTATCGCAGTCCTTATAGCACCACTATTGCGTTTTGCAACCATGTCGGATGGTGTTCTTGAATCCTCTTTGGCAGAGTGCCCATCGAACGACCGATGTACCTGGCTCCACAGCAGCAGGTGAACTGATACATGCACCCAGAAGTGCTAAGATGCGAGATCTTGTCCTTAAGGCTTCTGCAGATCAGTGGGCCACTGGAGAACACTATTCTTAGCCTTGTTGCAAAGAATATTCTTCTCAGAAATGATGTGATCCTTCTTTTGAGAATATCGCTTATTAATTTTGATCATGGGTTCCGAGTAGACGACTTCAGGGGTACATTCCCATTTCACTCCATTGTCTGCAGTGTTTTCTTTAGCCAGATCCATGATTGCCACTTGAGGAGTTGCCTAGAGCTCGATGTCACTCAACGGTCTTCTCAGAGTGTATCTAGTCTACCTCCATTCCCTTCTGCATATTTGTTAGGCGATGGGTTCTTGGCTGATTCCTTCCCAAAGTCCCTCGTTACTTCTCCTTTCTAGTAGACCATCTGATCTTCAGTATGGGACGATGACTGGTGCTGATGAAAGCCTGCAGTCATTTTGGAAATGCTTTCCGTATACTTACTATGACTTACTCACTATGATTCCCATGTATGTATAAATAAATATATACATATTGAAGTTTCTACTGAACACGTTGTCTAGAAAGATAATGATACGTACGCGGTTAAACCATCATTCAGTTGAGAGAGAATACAACCAAGCCAAAGGTCATTACTTTTACAAGTATCTATTTGTTTTAGATGTTATCAAAGTGAGTTGATTTTTTGAAGAAATAATTTTCTGTAAATTTAACTGTTAACGGATTAAAAATGTAATTTTTTTTTAAAAAAACACACAATGATAATCAAATATTTAAATTTATATCGATCCAGTGAATATTGATCCAATTACACATCAAACAAAAGTGAAACAATCAAACAATCAATTAGCTTCGTCATCATCAGCTGAACCAAATGATGAAACAATATCTACAACAACTATTGATGATTGCAGTGAAATGTCCGTAGATGGTAATCATAATAGTAGTAATAGTACTACATCGACAATTCGAGAGGATAGACGTCTAAGAAGAGGTATGTCAGGAGGATGTGAAACACGCCTTCAACAATATATTTCTTCAAAATTAAACTGTAATCTAAACTTCATCAAGAATAGACAACAGTATTGGACGATCGATCCATGAACCAACCTATTAGATATCAAATGAATCTGGAACCTTCTGGTTACGAGGTGACATCTACAGTGAAATTCATCGAGACCCCTACAAAACCTAGAAACGTATCTTAGTAGACTAGTGGTCCTATTTACTACTTGAATTTATTACCAGTTCATCCAAGTAGCAGGGTAACCAGATTTCGGCTGGTTTGAACTGGCTTGGCTCTCTGAGTTGAGCAAAGAATATCCTTTTCGATAATTTCCTCTTCTGGCTCTAAAATTATACATATATATATATATATATACAGAATAGTCTAGAATAATCAATAACAATATTAGCGTTTTTTTAAATAATATCGATTTGTCAAGTAAGATCACAATGGAATTACAGTTCATTAAAGACGCTTAAATTGTAATAATAATAATAGTGTAATAGCGAATAGAATATCAGCTAAAATTAGGAAATTTCCACAAAAATTGAGGATCATTCAAACCTAGATGGCCAGTGGGGTAAGGATAATGTCTGAACTAGCTACTTTTGGATGCATAAATTAGGCTTGGTTCACAGAGCAAGAGCAATCTGCTCGGATGAATGTATTGATGAGGAACTTAATAATATTAAACGGCTGCTGAGTGAAAATGGTTAACCAGAAAAGTCTATTGATAAGAATATGAATCTAAAATCAAAGCAGCCTAAGGTACCAACAGTTCCTAAAAAGGCCTTATTCTTACAAATTCAGTTCCTTGGGGACAGCATCAGCCAAATACTAACACAGCGTCTTAAAAATGCGGTGAAAAGAACATTCCCTCTGCCGAATTACCACCCATAGTTTGCGTTCTGGAGTAAAAGATAAACTACCTAATTTCACCTCTTCCATGTGTGTGCATCTACCAATTTAACGGCTCCTGTGGAGGCAGTTACACAGGCCGCACAATTAGGCGTGTTTCTCGTCGGATTTTCGAGACGAACAAAATCTATTCGTAGCGCTATTCTATCTCATCTTGTGGATACACAAGATTGATGTTAACCATGCTTTCAGGGTCATTTAACGCATACCAACAAATCTTAACTGCACCTTAAGAGTTCGTTTACTAAATATTGCTGAGGCTGGCTGTTGGGATCCACATTAAGAAGCCTAATTTATGCGTACAAAAGAAGCTAGTTCAGATATTATCCTTACCACGCTGGCCATCTAGGTTTGAATGATCCTCAATTTTTGTGGAAATTTCCTTAATTTTAGTTGATATTCTATTTGCTATTATATCTTTATTTTTTTATTCATTCACGTTTCCAGTGGAACATAGGGTTTCAAGCTAGAGGCTCGAAGTTTCTGTGGCAGTGTTTATTTTTACAGGATGGAGTTGCTAGCCTCCCCTCTTTGCCAGTTCTATTACTGGATTAGCGAGGTAAAGGAGTGCGTCGGCCGGGGATCGAACCCCGGACCATGTGTATGGTCGGCGAGCATCCTAACCGCTGTGCCACCGACGCACAATATCTTTATTAGTATTATCATAATTTAAGCATCTTTAATGAACTGTGGTAATTCCATTGTGATATTACTTTACAAATCGATATTATTTAAAAAACGCTAATATTGTTATTGACTACTTATCTAGAATATTCTATGTATATAAACATATATATATAATTTTAGAGCCAGAGGAGGAGGAAATTATCAAAAAGGATATTCTTTGCTCAATTACTTTGTGTTTTATAGATGTCTGAATAAATATTTTCTCTGAGTAGAGTTGAAATTGGAGACACAACTGATGATATCGGCCCCGAATGAACAAAACGCCAGTCGGGAGCTGAGATCACTTCAATATGGCTGGCTGAAACGCACCACTAGTTGACGTCACCTGTGTATAACTACTCACGTCACTCAATCAGTAGTAGCCAAAATGTTCTCTTGATTGCCTTTGTTATGGTAACATGCAGATCGCAGAAGATTTGATTGCAAATGTTCCATTGTCTTCCTAGACAACAGATTCAGAGATAAATTTTTATGTAAAGTAGGGTTTTAGGAATTCTTCACGAGTGAAATATTTGCCTCGTCTTCACTATGGTCAGTTGTTCTTGTAGATTTCCCAAAGATTGTCTCCACTTGTGTCGAGGATTTTGATCCTTTAGTTTATTTGATACTTGACTTTTTGCTCATGCGACTTATTGTCTCTTTCTCTCTCCATCGATCGATAAGTTTGGTTTGACGATTAATTCGTTGAAAATTCACTAGTGTTCTTTGTATGTTTGATAATCTGAAAACTGAAAATGAGTGTGACTCATTAAAATCCCTGAGGCACCAAAAAAATTCTTTCATGAGTTCAAAATGATTGTGACGCGAAAAACACAACATAGATCAACGAAATCTCAATGAACTCACTACACTGACGAGTAGAAAATAGGACTTTAGGAGCACATAGTCACATCACTTTGTTTACTGAAGTCTCTCGTATTATTATTATCCCCTTGGGTTCCGCTCTCTTCAGCCCACTGCATGACTTCCCACAATCTCTCATCTCCTCCGCTCCAAAAGATCACCTCCATGTCACTCTTGCACTGAAAACCCACTTGTCGTTCCCCATTCAGATTCCACTCGAGTGATGGCCTACATTCCACACGACGTCATTCGACGGCTCAATCAATCCACCTCCATTTTCTCCTACATATTTGTTGAGCAGTCGGCTCCTGGTTGGTTCCTCCATTACCAGAGTCTCTCGTTTCTAATTCTATCTGACCGGTGGGATGACTGGCATTTGATCTTCAGTATGGAGCCAGCCAGTGAATCGGACAGCTGTTGATAAAACTCCGTAACTAGCTGTTGGAAATCCTGTTCGTGACACGCAGTGCAAGTTTCTGACCCGTATGGAAGAACTGGCGTCGGTGGCATAGCGGTTAGGATGCTCACCGACCATGCACATGGTCCGGGGTTCGAACCCCGGCCGACGCACTCCTTTACCTCGCTAAGCCAGAAATAAAGACTAGCAACCTCATCCTGGAAAAATAAACACTGCTAAAGAAACCTGAAGCCCTATGTTCCAGTGGGAACGTGAAGGAATAAAAATAATAAATAAATGAACTGACTGACTTAATGTTTGTGTTGGAAATCCGAATCTTGTTCTTTATCCTGGCTGAGTGTAGAAGATTTTGCAAACTGACTTCAGAATGATGGTGTCTTACCTTTCCAGTTCTGACTGACTTTCATATCTTCATCCGTTCCGCCCCCATCTGGTTGAAACCGTGCTACCTAGATAAGTGAAGGAACTAACCTTTGTCAGATCTCTCCCGTTGATGATGATTAGTGCTAGTTGTATTTCTCGCTGTTGGTTGGTTATCTTCATCACTTCCGTCTTCCCTATATCCATCCACCAGGAGTCCTGTTTCCGCTGTCTTCCTCTTCTGCAAACTTGTCGAGTTTGTGTCACATTAGACATAAATCATCTACAAAGTCCAGATCTTGTGAATTTTTCTTGTAGGTTCAACGTATTCTTGTCTCTTCACTCCCTATCCACAGTCTAACGCATAATCAAGTCCATCACAACTGGGAATCTCATCATCTCTTTTAAGTGGCTCCAAAAGCACCAACAAGCCCTCAACTCCTTCTCACACGATCTACACCAATCGTCAATTCCCATCCGAATTCCACTCAAGGTCCAGGCACATGATGTTATTGAATGATCCAATCCAACTCCATTTCCTTCTGCATATTTATCAGGTGATGAGTTCTTGGTCGCTTCATTGCACTGCCAGAGTTTCTTGTTGCACATCCATTTAGATCGACCATCCAATCTTCAGAATTGAGTGAAGACAGCTGTTCATTAAAACTCTGCATTAGACTGTTGGAAAGACTTCTCTTGACCTGCGTGCTAAGTCTTTGAAACATACAGAAACTCTGACTTGATATTAGTGTTGAAAATCTGAATTTTGTTCTTTATGTTCCATATTAGTTTGTTTATTAGATGTGTCACACAGTGAAACAGTATTATTTACTGGATGACGTTTCGAACAAGGAAGGAAACAAGGTGGAAATTTAAACACTAGTGTCTACAAGAAACCCACACATTCAAACAGATATTTAGACTTCCAATCATCCCATCCTATGACAGTAAAAATAGAATTGGTGAAATGTATAAGTGACACAGCACAAAAACTAAGTAGTACCAAGGAAAATCTAAGACAGGAAGTGATGCACATAACAGAAGCCTTGAAACTTAATAATTACCCTGATAAATTAATCAGGAAATATGTAGGGAAATATAAAAATAAAATAAATAATGATAGTAGTGATAGTGATAATAATAATAATATCAATGACCACATGCATGTCAAACATGCTCAAGACAACACCAACAATAAGGGATCTAAATCATCAGTAGTCATTCCATATAAGGAAGGAACCTCGGAAACCACCTTACGCAGAATTCTTAACAAGGCAGGAATACAAGTGGCTGGCATTCAAACCAACCACAAACTCAATTAGAAACAAGTTTCGTCGGTTAAAGGATCAGTCCTGTGTAGCCTTTAAAACAAAACAATTTAGTTTATCTAATACCTTGCCTGCAATGATTGTCAGGTCAAATACATAGGTCAGAGTAATAGAACAGGGGCAGTCAGACTAGCCGGACATAAAAGCCTAGCGAAATCTAGATTGGTTGACCCGAAAGAGATAAGAAATCTAGAGAATAGTTCAGCTATCGCACTCACTACATACAATCACACACAACCATACAGCATAGGATGATGGGATATGATGACAGTTTTAAAATCTAATGTAACAGGGTGAATGGAGGGAGAGATTGATAACAGAAGCCTTGCTTATCGAATCAACTGCAAATACGTGTAACAGGAATGATTTAACACCTGTCCACCCAGATATCTGGGAAATTCTACTACCCCAAAAGACAACAAATAGGAGAGGACAAAGGAAACTATAAAACTCAAGTTTCGAAGTCGTGTGATTATAATTGATGAAATGATTATGAACCGCAATAAATTTTGTTCGAAACCTTGTCATCCAGTAAATAATACTGTTTGACTCACTGTGTGATACATCTAGTAAACAAATTAATATGTTCTTTATGTTGATTACGACAGATTTCCGCACACTCATTTCAAAATAATGAATGTCTGCGTTGTTTTACCGATTCCCCTTTTAACATCCTCATCCGTGTCACATTCAGTTGAAACGAAGCTGCCTAGATAAGTGATAGAGTTGTCTGTCCTTAGATTTCTCCTATTCATAGTGACTGGCGCTTGTTGTTGTCGGTTAGGCACCTTCTCCACCTCTGTCTTCTCTCTATATTCACTTGAAGTTCTGTCTTCCTTGCTTCTTCTCCCGTGTGTTTGTGTGACATTGGACATAAGCCATCCACGAAGTCTAGATTGCCTAGAACCTTCTTGCCGACCCGAAGCATTTCTGTCTCCTCTCTACCCCCCCCCCCTCCGCTAAAGTCTGCCTCGTAATCCAGCCTACCACAATCAGGAATACCATCGGTGATAGTACGTAGCGGTTTCTTACTCCTGTCTTCACCTCGAAGGCTTCGCTAGGCCTTTTTTCGTGAATTACTTGGGGTATGTGGCCTGCTGAATGAGGTTCGGGGGCACTAGTGGAAGCTTAATCAATTGTTCCACGGTTTTCAGTGATTATATATATAAACATATATTGTCTGAACAATTTTTAACAATATAACTTATCTTTAATTTACACATTTCACAATTTCAGCTATTCGTAATCCTATCACTGGTGAAGGCATGTATGACAGTGATTATATTGACCTGTTGAAATTACCAAGTGAATATTATTTCCGAAGAAATCGTGACACTAGTTCATCTATACTAGCTGCTGCTGTAACACCAGCAACTACAAAAAAGGCTGTAGCGCCTAGTCAAAAAGAAACACCTGCACCAATTAAACCGATTGCTCATAAACCAGCACCACAGACACCATCACAACAACAGGCTCCAGCAACACCATCACAACATAAACCACCAGAACCGAAATTGCCAGCGAGCAGTACCACTACACAAGCTCCAGGTGAGTAGACAAATAAAAAAAGACGCTAACTTCTTTCTAAAGCAAACGATAAATATATCTATATATGTGCAGCTTAGAATATCCCAGAAAGTTGTCTAAAGTGCTCGTTGATAGATTTTGTATTAAGTCACAGTTTATTGTGAGTAGTTAAAGCTTTTTATTTACATGACTATGAGTGTGTTGTCTAGTTTGATAACGAAGCGTATACCAGTTATTTTGATGTGGTTGTGTTCTCTGAGCTGGATAGTTAATTTGAGCAGCTTTCATCTCCCTACTAGGCGACATCTTCAGCGCATATACTTCAATTTGTTGAAGTGAGCTTTTAGATATCTCCACGAGTTTATTAATCATCTCTCCCAGTGACCTGACCCTCGACGTGATTGGTTGTTTTTGTGTGTTTTCACACCTTCTAGGCATCTACTTGTATTGGAACTGATTGTTTCTTTGACTAGGACTTTGACCCTTTGTGTGTGAGGTTTCTTTCTTATCGGTCGATAAATTTTGTCTTTTTCGATGTGTCTATTGATTGATGATTCACTGGAATACCAGGCTTCTAAAAATTCTTTAGCGTTCTTGTTGTTTCCTCTGTCTAATATTTGAACATTTTCCCAATGGAATTGATGTCCGTGGTTGTCTGTATATAGTGATATGAAAGACATATACCTTCAAGCCAACCTATCAAACCAAAAGCATCCAAGGAAAGCACAAAGAAAGTCGCCCTACCACATATAAAGGACATCTCAGAAATCACTGCAAGACTCTTCAAACCTTTAGGAATTGACGTCGAACACAAACCAACAAAATCACTTTACTCAGTTTTATGTCAACCAAAAGACTCAACAACGAAAGAAGATGAAACCAACATTATCTACAAAATAAATTGTAAAAACTGCGAAAAACACTACATCGGTCAAAGTGGACGCCCTTCCCCTTCGTCTTCGTATCCACGAACATAAGCTAGCCATCGAAAAACATGGCATCCACTCACTCAAATCGCTACATACAGACAACCACGGACATCAATTAGACTGGGACAACCAAACCAACGTTCAAATATTAGACAGAAGAAACAACAAGAATGCTAGAGAATGGTTTTAGAAGGCTGCCTGGTATTCCAGTGAATCATCAATCAATAGACACATCGAGATAGACAAAATTTATCAACCGATAAGAAAGAAACCTCACACACACAAAGGGTCAAAGAAACAATCAGTTCCAATACAAGTAGCCTAGAAGGTGTGAAAACACACAGAAACAACCAAAGAGTCACGTTGAAGGTCAGTTGATCAGGAGAGATGATTAATAAACTCGTGGAGAAATCTAAAAGCTCACTTCAACAAATTGAAGTAGTATGCGCTGAAGATGTCACCTAGTAGGGAGATGAAAGCTTCGCAAATTAACTATCCAGCTCAGAGAACACAACCACATCAAAATCATCCACCTGAGCTACAAATCTTCTCCATCGTATCCCAGTTAGAAATCTAGTTCAAAGAATCGGTGAGACACATACGAACCTATATATATATATATATATATATATATATATATATAATGAGAGGATCTGAGATTTCAATGCACAACTATGCACGGGAGTGCAGCCGTCCACACAAAGGTATGGGAAAATATTCAAGGGAACTATGATGGGCAGAAATATGTACAGGAGAAAGAATACTGTGAATTCGATGAATCTGGAAGAGTGATTGTATCTGCGACACTGACAACGATTTTAAGCTCTATGTGACTTGTAATTCTTATCTGCTTTGTTGTTAGTGCCATGGGAAATCCAGTCAAGGGAGGATAAAAACCTCCCAGCCTAGCTTCAAATAACAGTCGAAGACTTCATGAAAACAGACGTCACTGCTACTGAAACTTCAGGACTTAAGCCTGAAGCCTTATGTAACACTCGCAACACAAAGGAATGAAAACAAAAATCAGAAAAATTAGAATTTAGTGATAAACAGCTATTTGGATTTGAGATTCACAATTGATAATCATCAAGTATTGGTTTTGTAGGAATTTTTGTTTGACTGCATGCAGGATTTCATCATGAGCTGACATCAGTTAGAGAACCACTGGAAAACCTGAGAGTAGTGGACAGCTGTTTCGTCAGCTTAGTTTGGGACTCTTTAGCAGTACGCACCCACCAGGGTTCGAACCCAGGATCTTCTGGTTACAAGGCCAGCAAGCTCGTAGACCATTGAGCCACTGGGACCCGATCAGGTAGTTAACCTGGGGTTCTAGTGGGAAGCCATGACCAGTAGGGTACATCAGGTTGAAGATGAGGCAGTAACTCACCGAAGAAGACATTGCGAAATGGTCGCGCTATATCTTGAATTGGCAGAAGTTAGAATTCATGGGCCATTGGATTGGGTCCCAGTGGTTCAGTGGTCTGCGAGCTCGCTAGCCTTGTAACCAGAAGGTCCTGGGTTCGAACCCCGGTGGGTGCGTACTGCTAAAGAGTCCCAGACTAGGCTGACGAAACAGCTGTCCAGTACTCCCAGGTTTTCCAGTGGTTCTCTAACTGATGTCAGCTCATGATGAAATCCTCCATGCAATCAATTGATAATTTGACTGATGAAGTTATGTGGATAAGGTAAAGATGGAAAGTCAATTGATGGAATTGTGAAGCTGTATCGATTGAGATGGCAAGGACACGTGTTGTCTATAACAAGCCATCGTCTTCCTCGTCAAGCCTTGTTAACCGGAAGAGACAGAGAGGTGATCAACTCAAAACATAGAATCAATCGATAAAGTTGGTTTCAGCTAGGCAGGTAGTGAGGTATAGACTGTTTAGTTGGCGTCCTCAGAATACTAACAACCAATAGCTTGAGATTGTAGGTGGCATGAATCGAAATCTTTCTCGATGGCGTAGATGAATACACTCTGTATAATCTAGTAGATCTGTTAAATTCTCATGTTTTTTCTCAAGTGACTATTGCTTCTCCTGTACATTACTGCTCATTATAGTTGTACATCGGGTATGACAACTCGAACTGCTGTCTTTCTGTACAAAGTGCTATGCTGAAATATAGTCACTTAGTTTCAATAATTATACACTAAGAAACAGCGACGATAGGACTCCAGGTGAATATACAGGAGACGGAGGTGATGAAGATAACTAACTAACCAACCAACAGCAACAACCATCAACACCCATCGTTATCAGCACGAGAAATTTGAAAGATGTTACTTCCTTCACTTATCTGGCTAGGAAGCATTGTTTCAGCCACAGGCAGTCAGAACGCACGAAGACGTCAAAGCCAGCCAGCTAGAATCCAAAAGGCAAGATACACACTGATGAACCTGAAAGTAGTCTGGAAATCTGCTTCTCTCAGTCAGCATAAAGAACAAGATCCGTATTTCCAACACAAACATTAAGTCAGTCAGTCAGTTCTTCTCTACAGGTCAGAAACTTGCACTGTGTGTCATGGAAAGGATTTCTAACAGCCAGTTACAGAGTTTTATCAACAGCTGCCCGATTCGATGGCTGGCTGGCTCCATACTGAAGACCAAATGGCCAGCCATCCCGCCGGCCAGAAAGAATTAGCAACAAGAAACTGTGGCTGGTGACGAACCAACCGAGAACCTACTGCTCAATAAATACGTGGAAGAAAATGGAGATGGATGGGGCCATTGAATGACATCGCACGCCAACCAGGCCATCGCTCGAGTGGAATCTAAGTGAGAAACAACGAGTGGGTGTTGACGCTAGGGTGACATGGAGGCGATCGTTTGGGGCGGAGGAGATGAGACATTATGGTCAATGGTGGGCGCAGCTGAAGAGGACTGAAGAGAATATGACAGAGTGGAGATGTGTTGTTGAAGCCCTATATTACACTCGGAACCCAAAAGAATAACAATAATAGTAATAATATATAAGCGTCTTGTTTACTACATGTCAACCAGAATGCGACTTAGTGTCTGAAAGGGTTAGAATCAAATCAACCAAAGATGCAACTAGATATCCACTCCATAGATAGGCTTTACAGTCGGATATTTCAAAGTTTCAATAGCTGACTTATAGATATGGAAAAACGAGATTCGCCTTCCACTGAATAAGAACAGAACGTAAAATCCACAATGTTCTTCTTTGGGGGCATCGGTGGTACAGCGGTAGAATGCTCACCAACCACACATGTGGTTCGGGATTCGATCCCCTGAACCTCTATCAAACAGAAGTAGGTTCGGTAAAGGGGTTAGTTTGTGCTTGAGGCTAGCAACCTCACCCCGTAAAAATAAGGAAACATGCCACAGAAACTTCAGCGCTCAAGCTCGAATCCCTATGTCCTATTGGGAAGGCAAGTGGAATAAAAATTCTTAAAACTCCACAATTTTCTGCTTAACTATACCAACTTAACTCTGAATAGCAATCAATATTATTATAGTTTATGTCTGCGTCAGTAGTAGAATGCTAACTAACCACGCTACACATGACCCTTGGGTTTGATTCTCAGAAGACCTATTCCTTAGACTCACCTGGCCGGTAGCAAGCCAGGGAAACAGGGCAGGCTGGATGTGAGACTTACAACCCCACCTCGTGAGAAGAAAACAACACCACTACCGCTAATGAAATTTCGAGGTTTCAAGCCTCAAGCGCTATGTTCTACTCAGGACACAAAGGAATGGCTTAAACACTTAGTTTTCAACTAATGTGCCATAGGTTCAAGTCCTGTACCTGTTTCAGCCTGGACAACTGGGTAACAGTATCCAGCAATTGCTTTTGTCTAAGTAATCACAACTATAAGACTAAAAAACTAACAACTTAACGAAGCAAAGGTCAAAGGTGCAGTAAACTGACACTAAAGACCTACTCAACTTAACTCGAAGCTTCATCCACCTCCGTATAACCCATAGTCAACTAGGGAGATGGATCACAATCTATAGAAATCACACTACAAATCCTGTTTTGCTCTTTTGCGTTTCAATTGGAGCCGTTGAGGTTAAATCTCCAAGCTTCAGTAGCCGTGGTGTCCTTTAGTTTTACCGCGTGAGACCGCTCAGTCTTTCCTCTTTTCCTGACTTACTACCAACTATTAAACTAGGCGAATTTAATAGTGAGTCGGTCAGGAATCGAACCCTGAGACACAAGCACGGTTGGACAGCATTTCTAACACTGAATACAAATCCTAATAATATAAGAAATTATATTAACTTCCAAATAATAGCTACTTTCATAACAACAGGTAACTTAAAGTTCATCTTTTTCAAACTATTCACTTGGAACTAGATTCGGGCAACATTAACTTAATTAAAAGCACCGGAGATTACTAATTTCATGTAAATTTTCGCACCACATTTATACATCCTACTCTACTGAAACTATTTATTTGTTTTTGTCTTTTCATATACCAGAGAAAAAAGTTGTCCGTCCGAAGAAGGTTGAACCACCACCACCTGTGGAAAAAAAGCCGACAACTCCACCTGAAAAACAACCAGTCGCAGAGAAAAAATTATCAGACAGTAAGCCAACTTCATCACCATCAAAAACAACTACTGATAATAATAATAATAATAATAATGTAACTGAACAACCATCTAAGAACGACGTCTCACCAAAAGAACCAGAAGAAACAAGTAGTTCTATTCCACCACAACCAAAAACTGAGAAAAGGCAACTAGCTGAAGATCAAACAGCTAAATCACTCAGTGAAGAATTAGAGTTAGCCATGGCCGGACAAGTTTCTCCACAATCTACACCAACAACGCTAGATGACAATAAAACACCGACAGAAGTAGTGAAAGAAGCAACTCCACCGCCTACCAGTAACACACCTTCGCCACCAGCTACCAGTAAGACGCCTTCAACCCCGCCTACTAATGAAGTACCATCGCCACCACCTGCCAGTAGGACGCCTTCAATATCCTCTACGAGTGACACACCCTTACAACCGGCTGCCAGTAAGACGTCTTTAACACCCCCTACAAGTGAAATGCCTTCGCCAACCCCTACCAGCAACACACCTTTGCCAGTATCTGCCAGCGAGACACCCTCACCACCACCTTCGGAAGTAAAACCTACCGTAGAAGCTAAAACACCCCAACCAGCGGAAGTCGACGCTCCAAAGACAGACACTTCATCGCCACCACCTGAGTCCCCAAAAGAAGCACCAAAAACAGAATAGACATGCGTAATACCCTATAACAAATGTTCTTCTCTGGTTTAGTAATACAAGTGCCTGCTGATCAGATCATTCTCATACTTTTTATCGGAAGAGAACTTCTCTTTAATTTTTTTGAATGGTGCATTTCGTTATCAGTTATATTGTTCCTTGTTTAAAACGTACCTATCTAAACACCCCGGGTGATGGACCCCCTCTCTCCCCTTTTCTTTCGATTTACTACTGATTCAGATATTTTTAAACTTTCGGCATGAGAATGGATCACATAACTTTCGTAAAAATATTTCCGATATTTCGTTATAATAACTCAGTTATATAAAAAACACACAACCAATATTCTAAAATTTTCCAAGGGGATATCCACTGTGCATGGCACACTTAAGAGATTCATTCCATTTCTAAGGAATTCATATAACTTACAGTATGTATGCGATGCAGCATACTGAGTTTCACAAAAGTCATGATGCCTTATCAAATTTTTTTCGATATGAAAGGTAGAGAGAAAAATGGTCATGATATGACTTATACAAGTTACCAACGCAATAGAACTTAATGGCCTATGAGATAAACCAACAACAAAAAGATGATTGGTTGTGCGTTAGACTTCAGTTATGTCTGTTACCGGATGACCACCGTCTTAGGTACACAGAACTAATAAGCTATATATATATCAAAGACAGGCTGGAATCCTTCTCCCCCCCCAGCTGGCATCAATAGTCCTCGCACAATAGATATGGCTCATTGCCAAGTGAACTGAATTTTACGCGGTTATTAGGTAATATTTTATTCCATCATTACACATATCGACTTAGTTTGAATTAATGTGACACTAAGTTCACAGCATGACGTACACCAACGCATGAACTGTCGATAGGGTATAGAAGATCTTTAAAACTATGTCATAAATATTAAACGAAACAGTATATAAATCAACAACAATCAGATCTGTTAATTAACACTTTATTCTAAATGCATGCATGATATTGATAAAAATAAGGTCTAATATTGTATGAAGAGATCAAATGTTCAAATCACCATGAATGTAGGTTCCTATAGTACCACCAAAGGTCTGTCTTAACCTCGTAATGCACAAGAAGTACATCTGGAAAAGAAAAAGAGCACTTATTACACGATTGTGATTTTCAAATAAGAAAAAGAATACAAATTACACCAATTTTATTATACCATCAATGCAATACTGCTTCAATGGTTCAGTGGTAGGATACCAAAACAACCACACACACACACATGCAGTTCCCTGCCGCTTAGCTGGGGTAGTAAGTTTGTTCAAAATGGAGGGTTGAGCATGAGGCTAACAACCTCACCCCGTAAAAAAGAAGCACTACCATGACTGAAACGTTAAAACTCAGGCATGAAGTTTTCCTTATATTCCACGTGGAATGCCAAGGAATGAAAGGCAATACTGAACTTTTTCAAAAAAAACCATTAAGACATTCCTGCACAAGAAATGGAAGAAGTGCTATGTCAATTATTCAATTCTCTTCAATTAAAGGGCTTCAAGTCAACGACGCGATAAACAACATATGGGGCTTTATTAAAAGAAAGTCCCTGGGACAAACTTAATGCATGTTGTATAAGCTGTAAGCGCGACTTAAGGTTTACAAAAAGGAGATGAATATCCCATATATGTAACAAAACACCTAATAATCTAATAAACACAGAAGCAATAAGTCGCGGACTGAAAATCTGATAAACTCATCTATTGTTTTGGAAATATATGTGTATACAACCACGGCTTAAAAACTCAAACTGAAGCGAGTGACCGCCTAGGGGAGCCGTCCTTCCCCTTTTGTGTAGAGGCTGACGATACTAACTAGCTACTGGATAAGTGGAGTGGTGATTGAAAGATGTGCTTAAGTTGTAGGAACCAACCTTACACATTTGGTAAAAGATTCTGTTTCTACCCTACGTCACTAGAACAAATACACATGGAACAATATTCCAGGTGGATACAATTAAATACACAAAGTGTAAAATTAGTCGAGAATAACACCCGCTATAAATTCGGGCAATGCCACCGCCTGTGAAATGAAATTAATTAATTCAACATCGAAAGTAATAAGTTATTGGGCACTATACCTTATACTGGCTACTAAATGCTGAACACCGAAAACAAGGAGACCCAGTATCATTGGAATTCCACCAACCATGGCAACAGCACCATTACGACGCTTTGCGGGATCTTTAGAAAAAGAAAAAAGGAAGACGGTTGGTACATGTGATTAACGAGATGCCTTAGATCAATAAATCGATTCTATTTATACAATGAATCCAAGCAAACACACGAAATAACAATTAGTTAAAGATTACCGCTCCACATTAAGTAAAGTGGCATACCATTGAGAAATGTTAACGAACACAGTCATGGGCATATTTATCTCTGTTATGTATCATGTTACACTTATTGTACAGGAGATGGTGACACAATCTAATCATTCAACCCATATTAGAAGCGGGGTTCGAACTCCTAACTTACTGATTGATCATTAAACGTTAAGGTTGAAGAGTTACATTTCTAAAGTTATACCCCAATATGAACTCATACGTGACTGAAACACTGAACATGGTTATGTTTGCTTACTACGTTTACTCCGAAACAAAAGTTGAACTAATTGCCACTACCAGTGTGACTCAATTTTAAGCTTCTTACTCCCAAGCAATTGCTTTTGAGACTGAACTAAACATCAACCGTGGAACATATGCTAGTACATAAGAATTATGTACTGCCCACCAGAAATGTACAAGAAAATGAGTCCAACTCGGACCCTAACAACCTACAATAGTTAAACCAAGCGTTTACATCCTTCCAACGTTGAAGTCAGACCATAGCATCCACTCCGGTACATGACCGACTATCAATTACAGTTACAGATGGTGCAAACTAATCAAATTATGCCTTTTGTTCTCAAATTGCTTAACGAGTTCCAAGAGTCTGGTTACTGAGTGAATAATAGACTAGGCGGAGTAACTAAAAAATTCGTATGCGGGGAAAGCTTGACACCATAACTACCTTTTTTGGGATGAGACATATAAACCGATCTTAGAATATCACAACTGATAATCACTCTTAAAACAATTTTCCTAATTTTATTCCTGCTTAATTCTTGTTCGACGTTAGTGGTAAAGTCGACTGGGATGGTAGTTACTAGTTTACTTCAGGCCTTCCATCAATAAATCACTTTGTTTGTAAATGCCAGTTACTTAGAATTCAGTTACTCAGAACAGACTTTCCATGTACCAAGCTATGAGCCAAACTTATCATGTGAGGATCAAGGACACCCAGTCGTCTGCTCTAAATTAGGCGTGGGAAACAGACTAAAAGTCAACAGTTCAAATCAGAGGCAAACCTCCAAACTGTAACACAGGCTGTAGATGAAAAATCAATACAGAAACCTGCATATATATATATATATATACAAATTTCAATCAGCAACTTTTTATGAAAGGCACACTAAACTAGTAATAACACCAGATTTTACAATACAATAGTAAATAAATCCCTTACCTCCAGTGGCATACCCTTGGAAGTATAACAGACGACCAATAAGGAATATCGCACCACAAGCAGTATATGTGCGCTACATTATATTATAAGCAAAACAATTGTAACAAACCGGATAACGTAAACCACCAACGAACAACGTCATGAGGAAGAAAGGCAGAACCTCCAAACTGTAAAAAATAAGGTAGTATAATCTAAACATACTAATTCTGATGTCCTCTTTGAATACAGTTGAAAACTTTGTTGGTTGGATGGTAAAGAAGAGGTAACTGAAAATATACACTTCAAAAAAAACTTACTTCAACATTGTGTTCCTTACGAGCCTTGATAACTCGACGGACAAAATACATGTTAAGCCCGAGAGCACCTACACCCACAAGAATCACTCCACCATAGTAACGAGGGAGACACAGGGGAAGGGAAGTCAACGGGGGAGACAGATATTTCGACAACGACATCTTGGGACAATTTGAAAGAACACGACAGTCTGTCCTATGTCCAATGTTCTTATTTCAATATTAACACTAGAACTTTAGGAAGAAAGAAAGTCTGAAGGTGTCTTCCGAATATATAAATATCGTAGAAATTAAATATTTAGAAATCAAGTTTCAACATTGTACAATATGTCAATCCCGAATTATATTAGGATGTAGGTTCAGATAGGATAAAAGGCTTGAAGTCCATATTAATCCTTTTCTAATAGGCTTCTGAGCTTTTCTAAACCCTTCTTGAATGAGTGAGTTGTCAGTGATGAAGCCGATTCTTCTTGGGGTCGGTTACAAGACTCTATGACTCGGCATAAGAGCCGGTAACCCAAAGAGACATAGTTTCAACTTGGCTTTTGAAATTTCCTGTTAGATCCTCTGAAGTGTTGTTACCATCATGGAAGGAAAGGGGCAGATAAATATGGTCTGCTTAAAATCGTGAACATTGTGGTGAAGTCTGCCCTCTGTCCACGACATGACAGGGAAAAGTAATTGAAACTGTGAGAAGTGAAGTGAACGCATCTCCAGTGATCCTGGTAAGCGCTCTGAGTACTGCCCATAAAGACTTGAAAATTCCAGCAGACCCCACGAGACAGTGTGCTGCAGTTCTTAAGTCGTAACTTGTCATGATACCTATATTCATATAAGTCTGAATTCATGGGAGTGTTATCTCCTCTACTTTGTATGAACCGAAGTACACATATCCAGTGTGCGTGGTTGCGCCCCTTGCAATGCTGATTGGGAACATTCATCCCTCGGACCAGTCAAACAATTTACTTATATCTCATTGCACTGTAAGCATGTCACTATCATCTTTTAACTTCCTCCAGATTATCATGTCACCTGCGTGTGTGGCCGTAGGGGATCTGTTGATATACAAGTGAAATAAGAGGGACCTGAGTACGTTGCCTTGTCGCACTCCACTAAGTGCACTCGCCCAGCAGTAGAGTTTTGAGTTAACCTGAATGTCTATCTGCTTCCTAATAGGATTGCCCTGATTGAGTTCCAGGACTTTCCATTTTCATAATCAGTCTTAACAATAATTATATGTATTCTCATTTGTTTGGATATAAGGGATGCCAGTTAGCAGGTATCAATTTTTTTATTTTACATATACATGGAGGAAGCATACCTACAACTATTCAGTTATACGAGATATGTATAAGACAACATAATAGGGTAATACCAGCTATGTACACGATGCAATCAAAGGCATCGTTACTGTTTAAATCTAACGAAAATGCGCGTATTAATTGAAGGCTGCATTACATTCAGTAGATTCAGTAGACTATTCATAAAAGTATGAAAATTGCTTGTAAAACGTTAGTTAGTTTACCGATAAAAGTGTTTGCGGCAATATTATTTGCAAGAAGCTCACACAGATAGGAAAATATATACTATTATTATTAACAGGTCAGGTGCTTTGTTGGAGTCTTTGCTGGAGCCTGTGGAAACGACGCTGACGGATTTTTTGTTGTCCAGTTCTCTCTTACCTCAATAAGGTTTGTCAGGCGCGAGAGATCTCCCCGGAAGTGACGCTATGCTCTGGACAATAAGTTTTCGGTTTCCAGACATACCAGATAGGTTTCTTGATGATTCTTTCCAGAATCTTGTTCAAGGTGTTGGTGAGACTGATAGGCTTGCAGTTTGCAGGAGAGTGCCTAGATCCGTCTTTGTGGATAGGGGGTTACTATGTCATCTTTTCAGTCAGGCAACAATACTTTATTAAAGAGAGATCACTTAGGGATAGCAGTCAATAGGTTAACTAAGTGAGCTGATAGCTCCTCCAAAAGCCCTGGATAAAAGTATTCGGGTCCCAACGACTTCTCTGCATCCAGCTTTGATAGATGTCGATGGAATCTACCTTGTTATCCTCCTGCGCCACACGAGCTGATTCTAGCGAGGTGACGACTTTGAAGTAGTCTGCAACTGCTTCCTCCTGCTTTTGGTCCCCTCCGACTGTGCCAATATCTAGGGTCAGGTTTGGGACCCCTCTGGATACCTTATTAGCGAGGTTCGTGTAAGAAGAAGTTCGCCTGGGTTGAGCCGTTACATTTTTAGCTAGATTCGTTTCGAACTTCATTCTAGATTGACAAATTCCTCCCATAGCTTTGTCTCTGGAGGTGGCGTACAACTTTCTGGTCTCAGTAGCCCCAAGTGTGACGATCAGGACACAGAATTTGCACTTAAGCCAGAGTAATCTACGATTCCCTGGGTTTATCCTAGGGGAACAATGTTTTCGACCGTTTGGGATGGACAGAGAGATGGAAGGTTGGGTTATCTGTTGTATGAACTGGCTCCATGCAGCTTCCACGTGAAATTCTGGATTTTTACCAGTCCCGTGGTTTGAACGCTAAAACGACGGCCTTAATATCAGCCTTCCAGAAATTTGGTCGGGCAGGGATTTCGCTCCATGATACCGCTGTGGCTGTGAACTTCAAAACGGTCACACAGTGACCACTTCTTCCCAGGTTGGAGGAAGTACACATCCTTCCTATGGCATAAAAACAGGTTGAAGGTAGGGAGGAGTACTGTGGGTCATAGCGCATACGCTTAACAACACGAGTCCATTCTGTCGAGCAAGAAGCAAAACCCCTATGAAGACTTGATATCAGGGATGACTAAAAACTGTTTGTTTGTTAGGACTTGGCCCACGTAGCCCGACTTCTCGCGCTGCACAAAAAACACGCTTTTATGGAATCCGTGCTCTGCTTACCTTCCCTGGGTCACCTCTGTTCGTTGTGTTGCGCTAATACTAATTATTATTATTATTGTTCCCTTGGGTTCCTAGTGGAACATAGGGCTTCAACTGCACGTCTCCACTTGCTTCTGTCTTCTGCTGTACTTTTCACTTGCGTCCATGTTATTCCATACTGTTTCATCTCCTCCTCACACGATCTCCTCCATGTCACCCTTGGACGTCCCACTCGCCGCTTCCCTTTCGGGTTCCACTCGAGGGCTTGACGCGCGATGTCACCCAACGGCCTCCTCAGCGAGTGTCCAATCCATCTCCACTTCCTCCTGCATATTTGTTGGGCGATTGGTTCCTGTTTCGTTTGTTCCCATAGCTTCTTGTTTGTGATTCTTTCTGGCCATCTAATCTTCAGTATGGAGCGAAGACAGTTGTTGATAAAGGTCTGCAACCTGTTGAAAATATTCTTGGTGACCCGCCAAGTTTCTGATCCGTAAAGCAAAATTGACTTGACGTTTGTATTGAAAATCCGAATTTTGTTGTTGATGGTGAGTGACGAAGATTTCCAGATTGGTTTCAGGTTGATGAATGTGTTTCTCGCCTTCCCGATTCTCGATTTGACATCCTCGTCCGTTCCCCCTGTGGTTGAGACAATGCTCCCCAGATAAGTGAAAGAAGTAACCTCTTTCAAATCCCTCCCGTTGATGGTGATTGGCACTGGATGTTGCTGCTGTTGTTGGTTGGTTATTTTCATAACCTCCGTCTTGTCTATGTTCACCTGGAGTCCTGTCTTTGCTGCTTCTTCGACCAGTTTGTCGGTTGTCGCTTGTAAGTCTTCGATTTTGTGTGACATCAAACATAAATCATCCACGCGCGAAATCCAGGTCTTCTAGGTTCTTCACGTCGGTCCAGGATATCCCTGTCTTCTCGTTTCCCACTGTCTGACGCATAATCCAGTCCACCACAATTAGGAATATCATTGGTGATAATAAGCACCCTTATCTGACTCCTGTGTTTACTCCAAACGCTTCGCTGAGTTTTCCGTTGTGGATCACTTGACATGTGCCGTTGTCGTACAGTTGTTGAATAAGGTTGATGAATATTTGCGGTACGCCGTAGTACTCGAGTAGTTTCCAAATTACTTCGCAGTCAACGCTGTCGAAGGCCTTCTCAAAGTCTATGAAGTTGAGGTAGAGATTTGATTGCCATTCCATGCTTTGTTCGATGATAATGCGTAGAGTTGCAATTTGGTCAGAACATGATTTGCCTTTCCTGAATCCAGCTTGTTCTGGTCGGAGTTCTGTATCCAGCGCGTCCTTGATTCTCTCCAGGATGATGCGACTCAGGATTTTACTTGGCGTCGACAGGAGCATGATTCCTCGCCAGTTCTTGCAGAGTCCCAGGTCGCCCTTCTTTGGTAGTTTCACAAGGTAACCTTTCCTCCAGTCAGTAGGCACCTTTCCCTCTTTCCAGATCTTTTGCAATAATGGAGTCAGCATATCTGCCGTCGTTTCTGGGTCCGCTTTCAGTGCTTCCGGGGGTATTCCATCTGGTCCAGCTGCTTTTCCAGCTTTCAGAAGCTTGATTGCATTCATGACTTCAGTTTTCGTTGGAGGATTGGTGTCAACTTGCAGTTGTGTACGTGCTGTTGTTGGTATTACTGGACGGGTTGTAGGTGGTGGTCGATTCAAGAGTCCTTTGAAGTGGTCCGCCCATTGTTTAATCTGTCTTTCTTCTTTGGTAATTGGGTTCCCTTGGCTGTCTTTTATAGGTTTCACTTGTGTTGATCTCTTCCCGGATAGAGACTTGGTTATCTGATATAGTGTCCTCAGGTCCCTTTTGCCTGCTGCCTTCTCAGCTTCAGTAGCCAGGTTGTCGTAGAATTGTCTTTTGTCCTTCCTGGCACTCTTCTTCACTTCTTTGTCCAGTGCTGTGTAAGTTGAGTTCAGCGTCTCTTTCTCTTGTCCATCTTTGCATTGAATCATTTTCTCTTTCACTTTTCTCCTCTCCTCTATTAGTTTCCAAGTGTCTGTTGAGAGCCATTCCTTGTCTTGTTTCTTCTTTCTTCCTAAAACCGTTGAGCACGTTTCGTTGAAAATTACCTTCAGAGAGTTCCAGTGGTCTTCCACGGATGATTCCTCAGTGGTGCCACGTAGTGTTTCCTGCTTTGCTCTGACAGTTGCAGTGAAAATGTCCTGTGTGATTGTGTCCTTCAGTTTGTGAGTGTTGAACTTGCATTGTGGCCTATCCCCAGGTATCCTCGAGGCTTTCAGCTTCACCTTGAAAGTCCCTTGTACCAGATAGTGGTCTGAACCCACATCTGCTCC